GCGAAAAAAATAGTGCAGACGCCGAAACGATCGCTGCACGGCGCGGGCTGGAGCGCCGAAGCACTATAGAATAGGATAACAAGGGCGACGAATGAAGGCGGCCCCCGTTTCGCGGCGCTTCGGCGGCACACGACCGTTGTCGCAGCTGAGGACGGGCGAGGGGGGGGGTTGGCAACAAAGCTATGAAACACTGTGCAGGGAGTCCCCCCCCCTCCTCTCCCTAGCTGGGAGAGGAGTAGGGGCAGTCATATTTTCCTAATACTGTCGGCTTTGGAAAGGATCAAAACACAAAAGTGTAAAACTCAAAAGTATTTTAATGCCAAAAATCAGGTGACAGAAATAAAATCAGGTAGCTAGGACGCTGAAACCAGCAGAGTATGACTGAAACTGAACCGTATGCACTAAGGAGTGAGAGATGACAGAGGACTAGTTATGAGGAGGAGCTGTGAGTGGGAGCAGAGGACAGCAGGGGAACACAGGAGGAACTATAAATGAAAACATGTTTAAAGAAGAAAGAATCCTAAAAGGGAAAGAAGAATAACTAGAAAAAAAACCTGACAACAAAAGGAGTAGAAAATTCAGTGGAAGGAAAAAAAAAGACTTGAATACTAAATGAGAAAACCTGAACAGCTGGGGAACCAAACAAAAACAGAGCCATTGGTTCTGAGCCACAATATCTGATATCATTTATTTACATGATAATTTTTAAACTTTTAAGTATAAAAATGCCACATTTAATGTATTTTACTTTGTCTTAGTATCATGCGATATGCGATATGCGAGGACGCTCCTCAGCGTGCGACTCGGGTAGCTGCCGGACTGAAGTGGTTTTGACTGCTAGTTTTTTGGTTTTGATTGCTAGTTTTTCATGGGGTGTGATTGGTGTGTCAACCACTGTGTCAACCACCTATAAAAATGTGGATGCTTAAATTGGCCACTTTGTGGCTGCTTAGTGGACTCTACTTTGTGCTTGGCGTCTGTCAAGAGCCTGGAGACGAAGGAACCTCACATTGGCAAGGAGCCCTCCCACGGATCACCTTCAGCCGAGAGGCACTCATGAGACTTCGACCGCTTGGGAGGGGCTTTGCACTGAAGCCACCGAGTATTCCCGAGGAGCTCCGCGGCCTGGTGATAAAGACGAGACGCCGGAAAAGGGGCAGGAGGGCGGGAATACATCGGAGGCTTAAACGCATGAGTCTACAGGATCGGCGCAGGCTGCCAGCTCTCCCGTCTATCCTGCTCGGAAATGCTCAGTCGATCAGAAACAAGTTGGACGAGTTGGACGCCTGGATCACGACAAGGCAGGAGATTAAAAACACCTGCCTCCTTGTCTTCACCGAATCCTGGCTCAGCGAGTCGGACCGGGAAGAAGACCGGATGCTTCCAGGATTTGGAGCGCCGTTGAGGCTGGATCGAGACAAGGGGGAAACTGATGAACAGCGCGGTGGTGGTGTCTGTTGCTACGTCAATAAAAGGTACTGTAAAACTATTGTTGTCCGAGAAAGGATATGTACCCCAGACATTGAACTGTTATCGATATCCCTTCGGCCTTTTCATCTGCCGCGTGAGTTCCAGCAGCTGTTTTTTACAGTTGTTTACATCCATCCGCGGGCTAACGCCGTTACTGCGGCACAGCTGATAAATGACGTCACGCACCGCCTCGACACCATCTGCCCAGAGGCTCCGAAGTTTATTCTGGGAGACTTTAGCCACTGTCGTCTGGAGGAAACTTTAAAAACCTATGAGCAGTACATTACCTGTACTACAACACTCAGGAATACGACCCTGGATCTGTGTTTTGGTTCATTGAGTGGCGCATATAAATCACTGTCACTTCCTCCTCTGGGATCTTCCTATCATAACTGTGTGCATCTTATACCCCGCTATATTCCTGTGTTCAAGAGGCTACCACGGGAGGTGAAATCAGTGAAGTGCTGGTCAGAGGATGACATTTCAGCACTCCAAGCGTGTTTTGAGTGTACTGATTGGGACTGCTTCTTTAACTCCTCTGGGGATTTTAACGAGTTGTGCGACACAGTCTCATCTTATATTACTTTCTGTGTGGACTCTTTGGTTCACTCAAAGACTGTTGTTATTTATCCAAATAATAGGCCATGGGTAAACAAAGAGCTTAAATCAATCATCAACAAAAAGAAAGTGGTTTATTCCTCTGGGGGCAACCACCTTGAGAAAAAAGCAATATCTAGAGAAGTACGAGATGAGATCAGGAAAGTTAAACTAAAATACAAGGACAAAATAGAAGAAAAGTATAGCGGTGGTGACCTTAAGGCAGCCTGCAAGGGTATCAAATGTATGGCTTCTTGTAATCACCAAAAAGAGGATAAGAAACCTATCAATGTAAAAGGAGTGCCTGACTCTGTCCTGCCAGAGGTTTTTAATTCATTTTTCAGTCGGTTTGAGAGGGGGGACCTTGTTGGAAAGGTTGGGGTCTGCAAGGAAGCCCTCAAACCCAGTGAGGGATTTGTAATTTCACTAGACCAGGTCACCATCTTACTTAAAAAGGTAAAGGTGGGGAAAGCAAGGGGCCCCGACGCCATCTGTGGCCGTACCCTGCATCACTGTGCCAACCAGTTGAGTGGTGTTTTTAGCAGATTGTTTCAAACATGTGTGGATGTGGGTCAGATTCCATCTTTGTGGAAAACTTCGACTATAATCCCAATCCCTACATCAAGTACTTCAAAGGAACTGTCTGACTTTAGACCAGTAGCACTCACTTGTGATGAAAACTTTTGAAAAAATTCTAAAATCCGAAATTTTATCTCTGACAGAGGGGAGACTTGACCCACTTCAATTTGCCTACCAGCAAAATAAGGGGGTAGAAGATGCGGTGCTTTGTGTATTGAACACGGTCTACAGGCACCTTGATAAGACGGGGACTTGTGTAAGGCTCTTGTTTGCAGACTTTTCTTCAGCCTTTAACAAGATGCAGCCCCACATCCTGATTGAAAGACTTGCCAATGCTTTTATTTGCCCGATCAGCTTCTCTTACTGATTTTGAACTTTCTTACGGGGAGGACCCAGCGGGTGTTGGTTAATGGTCAGATTTCGCTCCCATTAATGTCCAGCACCGGATCTCCTCAGGGATGCGTTCTGTCCCCCCTGTTGTTTATCCTGTACACAGACAGCTGCAGGGTCACTCAGAACAACAGGTTCTTGGTTAAGTTTTCGGACCACACTGTTTTGATGTCCTTACTTTCGGGATCTGAAATAAACCATGGTCCCGCGCTGTCAGATTTTGTAGACTGGTGTGACAGTAACTACCTGGAACTGAACGTCAAAAAAACCAAGGACATGATTATTGATTTTAGACGCTCCGCACCACCCCACCTTGGTAGTAGCATCATCCACGGTGAAGTGGTGGAGGTGGTTGAGGAGTACAGATACCTTGGTTCTTGGATTGACAGCAAGCTGCGGTTTGTCACAAACACGGACTCCATTTTTAAACGAGCTCAGCAGAGAATCTATCTTTTAAGGAAATTGAACTATTTTAACGTGAATAAAAGGATTCTCTGCAACTTTTATAGCTGTTTTATAGAAAGCATTTTAACATTTTCATTTGTTTGTTGGTACAAAGCCTTGTCCATGAAGGACAAAAAGAAGCTGCAGAGCATTGTAAAAATCTGCTCCAAAATTATTGGCGCCAAACAAAGAGTATGATTCCCTCCAAGCAACACAGACGCAAGTGATTTCTTTTACGGGTTTATTGGACGTCTTTTCATTGTGGACCTCTTCTGTCCTCCTTTCTTTAGACCTCTCTTAAACCGTGAAACTAAATACAGGATAGTACAATTAAAACATATACAATAATGTGCAATAAAATAAAGACAAATAAATACCTCGTTGGCTGTTTGCTTAAAACACAAAGGGAATCCATCTTCCTTTAAGTCCTTTTACTAGTTTCCTTTAAGTCCTTTTACTAGTTAGTTCTTTAGCAGTCCATTAGCTGTCTGCTTGTTAGCACTTCATCCAGGTTCTGTGTTCCTCACACCTGGCTTGTATCCATCAAATCAAGGGTGTGGCTGGCAGAGCAGCTCATGTCGCTTTTCAAAATAAAATTACAGGAAACACAACTAATCCAGTGTCTTACAAATGGGAAAATAAATAAATGAAGAAATAAACAGCAACTGCAGTTACAAAGAGACTTACAGTCTCTTTGGGAAGAGAGGGCGCGAAAAAAGGCTAAATGTATCCTTGGTCAGCCCCTCCATGCTCTGCACTCTGAGTTCTCTCTTATGCCCTCAGGACGTCGTTATTATGTACCTTCTCGAAAAACAAACCGCTTTGCCAACTCCTTTGTTCCATCAGCTATTGAACTGCTTAACTCTGAGCCGGGAGGGGTGGCGAAATAACAGCGAAGTATCATCGGCTTTAAGCATGTGCCATTTTTGGAGGGCTGCTGCTCATCCTCTACCCTTCATTTAGGATGTGTTCGGCATGTTGGTAGTGACACACATTGTGTGATTGTATAAGTGGATTGTTTGCTTGGTTGATTTTATGAGCGAGTTACTCTGTGTGGTAAGCTACAAATTAATTGCCCCATGGGGACCAATAAAGTTTTCTGATTCTGATATATAACTGTACTTTTATGCTGATTATTTTATTACAGATGGATAAAGAGGGTCGTAGTAAGGTGTGGGCCTACTTCACTAAACATCCATCCGGTGATGTCATCTGCAGCATCTGCTCATCTTCAGTAGTAGTTTGTGTGTTCTGTTGTTTTTGAGATTGCTAAATAAATCTTATTTGCATTACTTGGAAAGAGTTATTGAGACCGTTCTTTGGTGTGTAATATAGAAATAAGTTAGCATCAAAAAGGCAGAGAATGAAGGGTTTAATCTTAACGACTTTTGTATTTATTTATTTTTTTTGTGAGGAAGATTTATCAGCTATTATATCGCCTATCGGCCTTTGTTAAAAGTTTTATATCGGTATCGGTCCCAAAAAAAGCCCGAATGAAAACCTCTCCCATCCAGACTCACCTGGCAGCCAGCAGCCTCAGGCCGAGCTCGAGGCTCTCCCCGTGCAGCTCCTCCACAGACACTTGATGGCTCGGGGTGTTGACGGGCAGTGGGTCGTCTTCCTTCAGGGCTGCAGGAAACTCCTCCACGAACCGGCGCAGAAAGCACCGTGCCTCCTCCTCCATCTCTCCTACGGCCTTCAGCAGTCTGCTAAACAGGACGTGGGGACACTGAAGAAACTTCACTTTGGCTCACAAACTTTAGTATTTATTAGAAATACAGCAACAGTATCAGAAAACCCGGCCAGTGGTGAATGGCTTCTAGAGCTCTACGACGCCCAAGAAAATACAACTGAAATACATTATCATACATGTATGGGTAAATTATACGTTTGATTCTGAATGACATTCAGCAAGTGTAAAGACACTCAGACTGAGAACAACGATCTTCACCATTTCTTAGAAAACACACCAAAAAACTACATTTCTGTCTTTGAGCATCGAGAGGCTCTTGGGAAACAACCATGTTTGAGGTGAAAGGGAAACTGGGAACCCACAGGTGAGCTGCTGCAGCAGCAGGAGTCCAAGCAGCTTCAGGTGACCCGGTAAACAGCTGACACAGAGCCGCTCTCTGGGGGAAGCGGAGTACGAACACACTCCTGACTACCTCAGCCACACACACTTCAGTGCGTGGTCCACGCGGGAAGTACAGAAATGTCCCGGAAACCCACTAATTCTTTTTATTCGTTGTTTTTAGTGGTTGGAGGTAACAACAGTAGCGTATTCCTGGTGTGCGTTTACCTGTAATCTTGTTATTTTCGTACTTCCCAACAGCTCCTGGCGTGGTGCTGCTGAGACGTAAACAGACAGCACCGCAGGGCGGGCTAGGTTTATGCTAACAGCTGTAGCATGGCTAAACTCTTAACATGACCACAGCGCGTCTGAGCTCGCGCGCTAACCACGTGTGGAGCAACTAGTCAGAGCAACTGCTGACTAGTCCAAGGCATGGACTGATCAGTAACTAGTTAGTTTAAAGTGCGAATTTCCCAGACAAGACAAAGTTGTTGTTTTTACCAGGTGGTGGTGAAGATCCAACAAACCAGCAGCCTAACCGCCCTTGAGCCAGACGAACTAGCAACCCTGCGCTGGCTAAATCCAGAAGGTAACAGATTACCAAGGTTGTTTACAGATCTGTGGAAATAGCGAGCTCCGATTGGACAATTCACCGGAGATGCTGACCTATCAAAAGCCTTTCCTACTTTCGTATAACTTTTAAAGGGACACACACACACGCACGCACACACACGCACGCACTCACACACACACTCACACACACTCACACACACACACACACACACACACACACAAGCCTTGTTTTCCAGTATAAATCGTTGTTTGTTACAATAAAAATGTCAGTTAAATATATATTTTATACACCATGCATGTCATCATCTCACAGTGAAGATTTTCTATAATATTCAGGTCTGGGGATTGAGATGAACATTCCAGAAGGTTTTACTTGTGTAGCTGCCTTATGCCGGGACCACACTGTGCACAGTATTGTTCATGTCACACGGCGTCTTAGCTAGATCCCTCGTTGGGAGCATGATCATGTAAAAAAAAAAATGGAGGTAGTCCAGTCTGACTGGCTCTTTTTGAGCCGTCTCACGACCAAAGACGAATCAATGACGACCAATGAAAACACACCTTTGAGACCCTCAGCAGCAAGACTGCACCTCTCTCAGCTTTGGTTTCAATTTATGTTTAAAGAGCAGATTATAAGCTAGACACTAGTTTTTATTTTTGTTATTGGCCCAAGTTAAACCGCAGTTAGACTAAAATAATGAATTGACTTGTTTAGACCTTCAGTTGAATTGTGAAAACTGTGATTCTGTGATCTGTGAGAGCTGAGAGGAGATGAGCTGGGGAAGATCAAATGTAAAACACAAAACATGAGACCCCTTTGCTGTTGGTAGAAATGTCATGTATTCAACCAGTAAGGATGGTTCAGCAGGGTTTAGCTGCAGAGGGACAGAGGAAGCTACGCTCCGTGACTTCCTGCTGTGAGTAGGATGACCAGATCCCAACTTGCCAAATGTGGGACAGCGTGAAGTTCTAATGTAATGAGAAAAAAACTAACAAAACGTACATTCTGCCTTTTAGCCCTAACATCACTGTTACACGTACATAAAATGATTATTCTTATTATCATCATATATTTCTTGTACACATTTTATTTGAATTCAACAAGCATACAGCAAAAGCTTTACTATTTCACAGTTCCTCTCACGTTACCACAACACAACTCTGTAGTGGCTCGGATCGTATAGATAGGTCCACAGTAATAAATACATGCTGGTTTAAGCCGCCTTTCAGAGTTTTTATTGAATGTTTTCCACAATAGAATGACAGTAAAAGTACCAGTAATATTTTTAGATCTGTTTATGTTTGTTTTTAATTAATTTTCCACTAAAATCAGCATCTAATTGAAAAAAATCCATACTCTGTTGCTATTTTTTTTATAATTCAGAAACAAAACGATTTTTTAAACATGACAACAAAACTCTTCTAGATTTTAGGTGACAGAATAAACATCAGATTCTAATCTGTAAAAAAAATCAGATCTAACCTAATAATAGTGTCAGGTTCCAGGGCTGTGGGAGGTGTTCTGTCATCCACAGGCTGTTGGAGGGCTTATGGAGACGCTCAGGTGTACACCTCCCAGCTAATGAGCTCTGCAGCAGAGTCACCTCTCTCACCTGCAGCTGATCAGCTAATCAGACGGGAGGAATAAAGGAGTCAGGGAACCAGCCACGCGCTGCTAGATTGCTTGCCTTTCTGGTAACATCCAGCCACCTGAACCAGTGCTGATTATCCAACCTGAAAACCTTGCCTGTTCCCGACCTGCCTTCATTTATTCCCATAGGATTCCTGATCCCAGCCCTTCAGAACCACCTCGACTGTTCTTCCTCTCCTCCAGAACCACTGCTGCATAACTCCCTGGCTTTTGGATCTCCTCCCATTCTGACAACCTCATGTCTCCTGTTCACCCTCCAACCTTACACCTCCCTGCTCCTGATCAATCCTACTCACCGGTCTACAGCCCTGGCCCTGTTCACCTCTCCAGCAACTACCTTCACTCTCCTCCTAGTAAGACGACTCCAGCAGTGATTCTATATTCCTCCTCGTTCCGCTCATAACCTTCTGTATTCTTCATCCCAGTGGTCTAATCTCTAGATCCAGGACCCAGCCTATTACTGACCAGCCCTTTAGTTCCTGAAATAAACATTTTTGTGATTACACCATCTCCTGAGTTTCTCTTGTACGTCAGTTTTTTTTTCTAAAACCATGACAAAAACTTAGTTACTTTTTGCCTCAAATGTCTGAGAATAAGAGATGACAGCTTCCATTTATTCTCACTATTTCTACACGGTGCTTTAAGGGGCTCAGCATGTGCACAGGTATCTGAAACTGCAGCACCGTTGTGTTACTGGTGTCAAGCCAGCCTCCAGTTTTCTGTTCCCCGTCTATTAAAATTGTTATGGGAATGGACGTGGAAACTGGATTTCAAAATAAATTTCAACTTTGAGTGAATTCAGATACTTTAAGAACATAACAAATAATTTAGACTTGTTCCCTATTAGCGCCCTGTCAATATCAAGGCCATCTTATTTTGGAATTCAAAGTAAAAGCCCTGTGAATTTTCATTTTTGAACTAGTCTTTCAATGACGTCAGAATGCTCTTAAAAGCAAATGTCATATTTCCAAAGAGTAGTTGCATTTTGTATCAACACTATCCAAGCACAGCAATTTGAAATTGCCCATATTTGACCGACTCTTAACGATTTCAAAATGCTCTAAAATGGAAAATTGCTGTTTCCACAGGGTAATTCCACTTTAGATCAACAGTATATAACTCCATAGTGATACCATATCAATATCAAGTTATTCTAAATCATTAGTACACTATAAAAGATGTGGTCGGTGGAAATTTTTGTTTCAAGATTTCATAAATCATGCAGTTAACAGTGCTCAGCTGCTCAGATGTCATTTCAGACCTCTGACTAGTCTCATCGCCATTCAAAAACTGCTGCACCTATTTGAAAAATTCAAGAAGCGTGAGCGGCAGAAGGCTTTGACGGTCATCTGTGTGAATTTTTATGTGCCTACCTTGAACTGTCTAGAAGCTATAACGAGAACATTTTAGCTGTCTGAAACTGATCGGAGGAGAAAATCTCTGTTCCTTTAACATGGGTTTCAATGAGACAGAATCAGGGTCTCTCCTCCTTCTGAGGCTTGTAAAGAAAGAACCGTAACACTTAAGGACAAAATCAAACCCATTCTGAAAAGCTGACAAAAATTCCTACGTGTTGAGATGTGATATGTTTCGGTACTCCAAATAGTCTGGGCGATGGAAAGAGTTGTTTCCAGAAAATGTGAAGGTCAAAAGTTAGAGTGTGGAATTTTCAGTTTAGAGCAAACCCCCACAATTCGGCTTTAAAATTGAGTCAAACCCGGAAGTACCAAAAATTGCAGTTCCACCCTCATCCACTAGGGGCTGGTGTCAGAAGCGAGCAAATCCTCATTGACTCCCATGTTAAAAAATCCAATTTCACAGCAGAAATAAACATGTTTACAGCCTGGTACCAAAACATGTTTTTGGTTTAAATGATCTAGTTTACACTCATGACAACTCTGAGGGGGGTGGTTTTTTTTCTCACTCTTCTGTTTAAGTGTATTAAAAGCCTGAAATTCTGTATAATTAATGAGCATCAGACCCACGTGACCACAGAGCTAGCTCCGTGGAAAGGCCTCAGTAGAGCCTCGGTCTGGCCTGGAAACTGTTCCGGGATTTTGAGTCTGTGTTTGTGTATTCTTGTTTGGATATTTTTGTGCAATTGTTGGACAAAATGGCTTGCTGTGGCATTAATTACACTAATAGAGCGTCCAAGGAGTCTCCACTTCATTTTTTTTTTCGGTAAGTAAAATTATATTTATGTATTTTAGGTCACTGCCGAGCTGAGCTTAGATTTTAACATGTACTGTTTAACCATGAAATTTAAATGTAATAGGGTAAAACCCAGTGCATTTAACATAATGCTGCACTTTAGAAAATGGGTTGAAATATAACATGTTGGTGGAGCTGGGTTCCCACTATCGGCTTGTGGAGCTCTCGGGAGACCGATGTTTTCCACCCGGAATGCCGGCTGT